CAGGGATAAGAGTTGACTAAATCGGCGTTAAATGCTGGTGAATTATACACAAAACTGCATCTTACGTCATGCTCATGTAGCATTGCCCACTGAGCAGCTATTTGTTACGACAAATTACGTGTCTGTGTCCCGGAGATGCTTTCTGGGACTTGCAGAAGTGCTGGAGTATGTAAATGCCCTGACCCTTGCCTTCTCTTGTATGCCCATGCTGAGTGGTAAACTCGAGGGTCCTCAGACTCTGGCTGCGTTCTTCAAAAGAGATGCTGACTGTGACTTGTGGCAGGTTCTGCGTGACGCAGTCACGATGTGGTCCCAAGCAAACCGACAGCACGGCCGGCCTTCGCTCTGCGGGCTCGTGTGTCGGGAGCAACACTAGAGAGAAAGAGAGGAAGGAAAAAGCAGCGCTAAAATCTGATTAGATGTCCCTGCCAATGCTTTGCTGTTTTGTCATGCAGTTGTCTTCCAGATGAACACATCCTTTGTATTTTCTACAAATGCAGGGATGTTGTTCCCAGTTCCCGTTACCCTGGTAGGAAAGACGTGGAGTGGGCAGGGTGGTGGTTGGCCCTGGTGGATGTGGTGCTATGGCTGGGGATGAGTTTTAAAAATAAAAAGCAAATAAGCAAAAAAAATAACCCTGCTACTTAGATAATTATTGTACATTCTGCTTGACAGTGTTACTCCTAGCTGACTTTTTTTCAATTAATGTCCTTCTTCACCCTTTTTTTACCTACTACTTATCTCTCTTTCTAAATACTGCAGCAGGCGCCAAGCCTTACCTTACAGGCGCTGGTTTTGCGCAGTGTCGTGATCTGGGAGAGCTGGCTTTGTTCTTCTTCAGAATGATGAGGTTTTTGGAAGGTCAGACACATTGCTGGGGAATGTGTGTACATAAATATAAAAACAAAGGCACAGAATATATATTTATATAGAGAGACAGATCAGTTTTTTCCACTCTGATTCTGTATTGTGGCAGCCCCACAATTTAGAAATCTGCTTATGGCCTAGGAAAAAAACCCAGAACCACCACCAGCAAAGAAACAAACCACAAAAAGCCTAAAAAACATGCAAACCAAACAACAAAAACACCCCAGGGGAACAAAACCCAACGACTTGCAACTGCGAGTCCGTTCCCAGACTGCCCTGGCCCCGCGCTGAGCCCTCCCAGCCTCGGCTGACCCACGCGTCCCAGGCAGGCGGCTGCGCTTCGGTCGCCCTTTGCTTTGGCTGGGTGCCTGAAGGAGCTTTTGGGCAGCCCCGGGAGCCGTGGGCGTGTTTCAACTTCTGAGTTTGGAGGAAAAGCAAGGCTTTTTCCAAGTACTAAGTAAAGTACTGAGGTTTTGAGGTGTACATGATGCAATCTGAAAATTATTTACACATTTCCTATTTTAATCTGAAATTAAATCATTGAAACGAAACAATTGAAATGGGGGGTGGGGAAGTGGTTGGCATTATAGAAAAGATTAATGAAGTATACAGCAAACGAGGGTGGACGCATTCAAACCTGATACCGAATACGAACTTGTGCTCTGAGTGTACTGTGCTTGCCTGGAAACTTTTACAGCTTCCTGACATGATGACATCAAGACTGTAGACTCATTAGACAGGAGACTTTCAAATAATTTCCCACTTCTGAATTTCCCGGCACTGCTGAATTACAGGCACTGAAACTACCACCGGCAGCTACCTGGCTCTGCACGGGCTGAGGCTGCTGCCAGGCACTGCTGTGAGGAGGGAGAACAAAAGGATTAAATCTGTCGGAGACAAGACCTCTTCTTAGCTCAGCTACTGAAGAAATAACACATTTCTGAATCATTCTGAATACTGCATGCTGGATTTTTTTCAGTCGTTAGTTTATAAACTTGTTTCACGGTTCGAGGCAACACTTTTTTGAGGCCAAAACCAGCCTTTCCTGCACTACCATTGCCCATGGGAGTTTCCCTGGGACCCCGGGCCAAGTGTTTGCTTTTACATGGGAGAAGGCAGCCCCTTGGCAAAGAGATATTGCTTGGTGTTTGCTGTGGTGTGCCTGGGCAGAGGGCAGTGCCTGGGGGGGGCTGCCTCGGGGGATGCCGGCTTGCTGCCTTCAGGGCAGCTGGGGCTTGGGGCACACACACGTGTGCATGTCGGGCACACGCATGTGTGCATCTGCGCACGCTTGTGCAGGCTTTGGGCAACACTCCTTGCTGGCTAGAGTAGCAGGAAGGGGGAAAGAGGGAAAAGGGTCACTTTTCTTTAATTTTTTTTTTTTAAATAGACTTTAATAGTGGGCAGTGGGTTTTCCTCTCTGGATTCTTGCTCGTGCCTGTGCAGAGCTATCCTGTCTCGACCTAGGGGTAGCTCTGGGTGTAGCAACTGTCACATGCTGTGAATTGCAGGACGGGTATGTGCCTTATCGGTGTTCCTGCTGGAGAGTTGTGGGTGGGCTAGTTTGGGGTGGGGGGGGGGGGGGGGTTTTTCTAAGCTGTGAGAAACGAAGGGCAACCGGCCTTTACCGGCCTTTGTATCTTTGCTTCTTAGTTTGTATTGTTGCTTTGGGGCTGGAAGTTGTCAACGCCGCCTCCTTGCATCCATATTTAAATTAGTCATTAATGCTAAGAATGGTTTAGGCAGGGGAAATCAGGAGCGGGCGGGAAAGCTGCATATTTACTAAATCTTGTACTGGTAAAAAACCCCAGTTTTTCCCCTGCTGTCAAAAGGAAGAGATGTTTGGTGCACTGAAGAGAGGGACAGTAAATGTAACTCTGCTCAGCTGGTAAGAGCAACAGGCTTGCCTCCCTGAAAGACTGCACTTTCTTGTTACCTTGCGGAAGATGCTTGTTAAGCAGAAAAGTGGAAGCACTTTGCCCTTTTTGTCTCTATTTGGACTTTGGCCAGTTGGTCAGGATTGATTATAAACCTAGGTGCTAATTGCTCTGCTTCTCATTTCACTGAACAAAGGTATGTTGGCACCTTTCCTTCCTGTGGCCGGAGTCTCCAGGACAAGACCCGTGAAGTTAAAATGGTCGAGGAGGAAGCTAAGAGCTTACCTATGGAGCTGAGCGAGAAGGGAGGTGTGGAGAACAACGGATTTGTTCAAAATGAGGCTTTTGACGACAAGGACACCAATACCAGTAGCCAAGAAGAAATGCCAAAAAC